AGAAGGCCATGGTCACACACACCCAAGCCCTCAGGGTGCTCCCAGTCAGGGTGGGAGATGAGTGTTAACCCAGTCATCACATGATGAAAAATCAAATGACGATTGTGATCATCATGGTGAGGAGAGCTGCACGGGAGTCTGAGCCAGTAACAGGACCTGACCTGTTAGACTGGGGGGCCTGGAGGGCTTCCTGGAGGAGGTGCTATTTGAGATGAGCACTGACATGTAGAGGACTTGACCAGCAGAAAAGGGAACCTCTCTGGCTGTGTGTGTGGGAGGAACGATTGGAGGCTGGTGTGGCTGAGGAGAGGCAGGGATGAGACCCCAAAGTGCTCCCCCTCCGGACAGTCACTTCAGAGAGCAGTGGAAGGAAGGGTTCTCAGTTGGGGGCATTTTGAAAAGGTCTGTCCGGCTGTCATGGGAGAACAGGTTGGAAGAGGCCAGAGTGGATCCACAGGGACCCCGGGTCACTGATGACCCCGATGAGACAAGCTGGGGCTTTGCTCTGGCCCGTGCACTTGGATCTGGATCCTGAAAGGACAGAGAGGGGCCCAATGAGGATCAGAGGAGAGATCAACGGGATTTGGAGACGGACTGTGCCCGAGTGTGGAAGCAGCGTTGGGAGTGATGACTTGGGAGGGTCAGGCTACAGGGCGTGAGGCTTTCTCGGGCCCAGATTTGGGGAGACCCTGAGTTGGTTCTGAGCATGCCGGCAGGCTGGTGGAGTGGCTGGGTGTTGCTGATGGAGGCACTGGAGTGGCAGAGCTCTGAGCAGGAGCTGGCCTGGGACAGGGACCATCTGACCCCTGCTCCCCACCCCAGCACCTCCCGGGACCACCACACATGTAGGAAAGGTCTGGCACCCGGCACCCAAATTGACGGCGCTCAGGAGAGAACGCCAGCCTGTCTGCCGGGCCTGGAAAGGCCTGGGCCACAGGCGGGCAGGGGAGAGGCTGCGCCTGGTCACGGCGTGGACTCGCCTTGTTTCTTTCAGCATAATTAGGTGCTTAATTGCACCACCAGGGCCTGCCGATGCCTGTGCTGCGGTGATTATGATTTACAGCCAGGCGGCCGTGTGAGGGTCTCTTCTTCCGGCCTCCGTCTCATCGGACGTCTGGGCCGCAGGATTTTCTGCCCAATTTGTGAATGATGAGATCCAACAGGCTGCGTCTGCCACCCCCAGGAAGCAGGGCAGGATGATGGGGCCCCTCACAGGCTGTCTCTGAGAAGGCTGGGGAATGTGGTGGGGTGGGGGGTAGAATGACAGACCCGAGGTTCCCTGCTCCCAGGAGGCTCCCCAGAGCTGTGCTTAAGGCCTGGTTTCTCCCATCAGCCGGGGCCTTGGGCCAAGCACCTCACCTCTCTGAGCTTGTTTCCTGACTCATACAGTGGGCGTGTTGGGTCTTTCAGAAGTGCCTGCACCACAGTTATCTCGAGGTTTGGGTACGATGTGTGACGCTTCAGCACATCATCTCACAGGGACCACACACGCCATAGACACCAGCCACCAGCGCCGCGGTCACTGCTGCCGTTCTCAGTGTTTGCCTTCTCTGGGCGGCCCTTGGCACAGAGCCCTGGGGCTGGGAGGGAGCCGTGTGTGTGTGTGTGTGTGTGTGTGTGTGTGTGTGTGTGTGTCCTCTGTCCTGTTAGGCATCAGCTTACTGTGGGGCTGGATGACAGGAGTGAGGTCTGGATCCCCCATGTGACCGCAAGCCCAGGCTGGCATTGCTCAGAGGGGGCGCTTGATGAATGTGAGTCCGATGGATGGATGATCCAGCCCGAGAAAACCAGGGCCACGGTGCCTGGACCGTCAGTATCCCAGCCCAGCCTCCAGCACCCTACGTGTGCTCGGCTCCCCTCCTCCTCTGGGGCAGAGGGCGGGAGAGGGTCTGGGGAAGAGTGTCTGAGAGCCAGAGGGGTGACAGGGCGGGAGGGAGCCGGGGAGGAGGGAGCCCATCCAAGCCTTAGCGCCCCGGGTGAGGGAGGGTGGGCTGAGGGGTGGGCCACGCTCCACGCTCCCTCCCTGGGAGCGGCTGCTCCCAGCGCTTCACATTATTACTCCATTAGCGCCTTGTAGGGTTGACAAATGAAGGATAATTAATATCCGTGAGGGAAACAGATGTTGAGGTAATTCATTTCCCGCTGCGCATTTGCAACAGCATCCCCTCACTCCCCGAGAGCGTGGCAGGGCCAGAGGACCTCTGGCTGCCCTTGGCCAGGGGTGATGGACTCGGCAGGGCTGACAGCCTCCAGCTGGGCGCAGCCTGGCACCGGGAAGGGGCGCTGTAAGGCTTCCCGCGGCGTGCTGTGGGGAAGTTCTGTCGGTGGCCCATGGCCCACCTTGTGCCTCCTGCTGTGCCACAGCCCAGGTTTTCCCGCTTCCCGGGGATGATGGCCAGCCGCTGTGCTCAGAAAGGGGAGGACGGGCAGGCTCCCTGCTGCTGCCCAGCTGCCCTCTTCCCTCCGGAGCCCAGGAAGCAGCCCCCTCACCACAGCCCTGCCAGCTCCTGGTGACGCTGTGTGGGCCAGTCACACCATTTTGAGGGAGAGAATGCATGGAGTCAGGCTTGGGTCCAGCTCCTAGCTCCACCACTCATTGGTTCAGTGCCTGGAGGAGACTCATTCCTTCTCTGGAGACTCAGTCTCACCATCTGTAAAGTGGGTAGAATTGCGTGTATGTGACCTCAAGTTAGCAAGCCTGGGTACCACTTCATTTGGAGAAAAAGGGACCAACAGTGAGTCCATTCATCCAATAATTTATTATTATTATTATTTACAGGATACCAGACCCTGTGATGGTCACTGTGATGAACAAAATAGATATTCCTGTCTTCATGGAATTTTTTGTTTAGCCAGAGAGAAAAGCAAAAATAAAATCAACAGACAAATCAATTAAGTGGTTCTCAAATTGTGATGACTGCTAGGAAGGAAACAGAGTTGTGATGGAAGGCTTCTTGGAGGAGGTGACGTTGGGGAATGAGTGGGAATCACGTAGGGGAAGAGAGATGGGGCAGAGCACCCAGGCAGGGAAACCAGCCTATGCAAAGAAACTGGGGTCAGAAAGAGCAGAACATTTGGGAGGAGATGAGAAGGGACCAGGGAGGCCAGAGCAGACCAGTGAGATGCCTGGAAGTTACATGGGTGGGTGCCCCGCAGAGTGAATGAACCCGCCAGGGACTGTCCTCCTTCTCCTCCTCCTGGCCTCCTCACTGTGTGGATGATCAGCAGGGGCTCCCCCCTCCGGGAGTTGGGGCCTGGCAAGAACAGGCCAGCTGAGGGGCCAGCAGGGCTCAGTGCCAGAGCCCCCGTTCTGGAGCCCATGCAGCTCCCTCCTGAGCCTGGAGAGCCTGTGTGTGAGGGGTGGTGAGGTCACTGGGAAGGTGGTCACCAGCTGGCGGTGGCGAACTGATCGCCAATGTTCTGCCTCGATGGGGTGGGGGCTGTAGGAGGTGGGATGGGGAAATAGGAAGGGCCTAAGTCAGTGGTCGGCAAACTCATTAGTCAACAGAGCCAAGTATCAACAGTACAACAATTAATATTTTAAACTTAATCTTCTCCTGACACCACTTCTTCAAAATAGACTTGCCCAGGTCGTGGTATTTTGTGAAAGAGCCACACCCAAGGGGCCAAAGAGCCGCATGTGGCTAAGTAATAAGGGGCAGGGAAGGATGAAAGCCCACTCACCATTTCCTTCCTCCCCACAGGCCCAACTCCCCCCTCCCTTTTTCCAGCTTTCTAAATTTTGAATTATAGACTCACGGGAAGTTGCAAAAACCTTCTCTTGTATCCTTCCCAGTGATCGCATGATGGAATACTACACGGCAATGAAAAAGAACAGACATAGACATGCAACAACATGGAGAATCTCGCTGATACTATGCTGTGTGAAAGAGTTCAAGAACAGACTGACCTGAACTGTAGTGATAGGAGTCAGAGTAGTAGTTCACCCCTGGGGAACGTTGGTGAGGAAGGGCCACCAGGGTGCGCTCTCGAGTTACAGATGGTCCTGCCTTGCTCTGGTTGGTGGCTGCACGAGGAAACACTTGTGTGCACTTTTAAAATTGAATCAAGTGTGCACTTTGCTGTGTATACGTTAAAATTCATTTTTAAGATAAAATTTAAAATCCCAACCAAAGGCATAAACAAAAAGCCAAGTATCACAGACACTCTTTCTGTTCACCCCAACAGGGATGAGCAATTATTGAAATGCTGATGCATCTGTGGTCAGCCTGTATTAAAATATATATATATGTGTGTGTGTGTGTGTGTGTGTGTGTGTGTGTGTGTGTGTGTGTGTATATATATATATATATATATATATATATATATATATATATTGATTTCAGAGAGGAAAGGAAAAGAAAGGGAGAGAGAGATAGAAACATCAATGCTGAGAGAAAATCATGTAATGGATTGAGCCTGCAACCTGAGCCTATATCCTAACCGAGAATTAAGCCATGACCTCCTGGTTTATAGGTCGATGCTCAACCACTGGGCCACGTAGGCCAGGCTGTATTTGTTGTTTGTCTGTTTAGAAATAAGACATTTTGGACTAAGCTAAGAACTCACTTTGCATCCACCCCAGGTCCACCGCCCTCCCTTGGGCCGCATCCTCAATGCAGCCTTTGCTATGAGGCCCGTGTTCCCTGCTGCGTATTGTAAACTTGTCCACGCACACATCTCCAAATCCAGGAGTCAGTGTTTTTATGTGTTCGTGTACAGAAATGGTAGTGGTTTTGCAGTGAGATTTCACCTCCTGCGTGTCCCTGAGCTGGGATATGCCTGGCTCCAGGGTAGTATTCCTTTTAACTGTTTCGCCATGTTCCATGTAATGAACTGACTTCTGCTTGTGTCTGTTCTGTGGATCGATACTTAAGGTGCTTCTATTTTTTGCTATTGAACCCTCTGTGCCCTGGTGTGAGTGTCTCTGGCGCCCCACCCTAGCTGTGGGCTGACCCTCTTGTCTTCCCGCTGCCCCACGGTCTCTCTGTCGCCCCCAGGTGGTCAAAGTAGTGGGCAGTAACATCTCCCACAAGCTGCGCCTGTCCCGGGTGAAGCCCACGGACGAGGGCACCTATGAGTGCCGGGTCATCGACTTCAGCGATGGCAAGGCCCGGCACCACAAGGTCAAGGCCTACCTGCGGGTGCAGCCCGGCGAGAACTCGGTCCTGCATCTGCCCGAAGCCCCACCCGCCGCGCCCGCCCCGCCGCCCCCGAAGCCCGGCAAGGAGCTGCGAAAGCGGTCGGTGGATGAGGAGGCCTGCAGCCTCTAGACGGATGGACAGACGCTCCCCTGCCACGTGCCCGCCCGCCCGTGCCCCCAGGCTGTACAGAGTGCATGAGGAGCTGCTGGACCGTGGGGACGGGGCCGCCTGGTCCAGCCGCCTCCCCATCCCTGAGGCCTGTGGCCACCACGTAGGCCCTCCGACCGCCACCCCTTTGCTCAGCATGTTAGCCCCTCTCAGCCCTTCCTTTGCAGATCCGTTGCGGTGACCTGACCTGGCTCGCGGGAGGTAGCCTTGGGCACCAAGGGGACAGCTACTCCACATCTGGGGGCGGGACGCCATGCTGGGGCAGGCTGCCCCCTTGGGCCACCAGCTTCGGTGGAGTCTAGTGTTTCGCTTTTGCTTGCTTGTCCCCCCACCCATCCTGTCCCTAGCCAGGCCTCCCAGCCTTACTCTTCCTCCTTCCCATGATCCCCCACTTGAGCCTGGGGATGTGGACAGCAACCCCTCCCCGGATTTGGACTTGAATCTCTGAGTAGAGCTAGGGCCTCTCCCTTGGGGAAGAGGTGGGGCAAGAGCTCCCAGGAGAGCCTTGCTCTGGGGCTGGGGCCTGTTGGGGTCACTCATAGGGGCCCTGGGAGGAAAGGGAGACACCCCGCTGCCTCCTGGTGGGTCATTCATGGTCAGCCTCCTTGTACCTAAGAAGCAGCTCCCTGTCCCAGCCTCCAGGGCGGCGGGGGACCAGGAATCTCTGCCCCTTCATGGAGAGGGCCTTCGCCCTCGGACTCCATGGCCCCGTGCAGAGTTTTGCACCAGCAGGACCCCTCTGAGGGTCTTTGAGGCTCTCCCAGGAGCCCCCTCTGCCAGCTGCCAATGTCCCAGCCCTGTCTCTCTCTTAGGGTCCATGCCAAGCCCACCCAAGGGCCTGGGTCTGTTGGGACCCCAGGGACCCCAGCACCAATCCCCTCACCATTCCTGATCAGGGGGACACCTGCCCCTGGTGATGTGTAAATATTTCTATTGTGCCCAGCACCCCCTCAGAACTGGCTCTAACCTCTGGCCACCCCTCAGCAGTGGCATGGGGGATGTGGGAGAGGCCAAGGGCTTTGCCCCGGGGGTGGGATGGGAGTTTGAGGGGGGGGTGGTAACCCTATATACATGATTCAATCCGTCACTACCAGCCAACCTGAATAAAGTGGTTTAAGAAAACCTCTGGGCAGTGTCTTTACGGGCATGTGTCTGGGAGCAGTTCCGCAGGGGAGGGGGAGGGGGAGGAGGAAGGGGAGGGGATAGAGGGAGGGCCTCCCAGCCATTCCCACACCTCCTCAGCATTTTCTCACTTGTGCCTTCTCCTCTGGAGCTCGGAACAAGAGCTGGGAGGCGCACAGGGAGAGGGTGAAGGGAAACCAGCCTTTGTTCAGCACCAGGCACTTGAATTATTCTTAGGTTTTGAAGTAATCACAAGTAAAGAGTGCATAAAACATGTTTACACTGTTTTGTGAATAAATAAATTATAAAGCAAACAAGGGCGAGCCACTGCCTGCCAAGCAGCACCCCAGAAGCACCCGGGTCAGGCCCACTGATCCACAGCCCCCCTCTCTCTCAGGTAAGTAGCACCCTGACTTTTAAGGTCATCATATTCATTGTTATTTTTACAGTTTCATTACCTATACACATGTCATCTTCAGCACAATAGCTGAGTGTTGCCTAGCTTTTTGAACTTATATACATGGAATCTTACCATCATATATATATATATATATATATATATATATATATATATATATATATATATATATATATATTTACAGAGAGGAAGGGAGAGGGATAGTCAGAAACATCGATGAGAGAGAAACATCAATCAGCTGCCTCCTGCATACCCCCTAATGGGGATGTGCCTGCAACCAAGGTACATGCCCTTGACCGGAATTGAACCTGGGACCTTTCAGTTCGCTATCCACTAAGCCAAACCGGTTTCAGCACCATCTGTATTCTTGATGCACCGCTATATTTGAGATTCACCCATGTGATTTGCCCGTTTTTATTGCTGTATAGCATTCCCCCTGCAGGAATACCCTACAATGCATCCACTTGTTTATCCATTCTGCTGCCTACTATGATAGAATCCGCTTCTGTCCAAGTGTCACCACCGACCACACTGCTGGGAGCATTCTATCCGTGTCTCCTGAGGTGCATGAGCCCAAGATTCTCGGGTGGGTTTGCCAGAGCAGAGGGCTGGGCATGGACTGCACCTCAGGGATCTTGTTTTTCTCCCGTGAGGTGTCACCGTCCCCTGTTACAGCTGAGAAAACGGGCTCAGAGGAGCCAAACAGCTCACCAAGTTCACACGTGGAGCTCTGCTCTACCATCCTGAACCCCGCCCCCAAACCCTCCCATCATGCCCTGCGCTTTGGACTGCCCTGGGTTCATTCCCACCCACAGCGTGGGGCTGAGAATCTGCCTGCAGGCATGTCCCTCTGGGGCTCTCAGGCTAAGCCCTGGTCACCAGTGTGGCCAGCTGGTCCCTCCTCTGTGCAGAGACCACAGGCACCACCAGTGATGAGCTGGCCCTGCCTGTCTCCGTGCTCCCTTGGCAGCCGGACTGAAGGAGCCTCCCCCTCCAGGACGGGGGCTGGGGACTGTTGAAACGGTGGGTGATGCGGGAGGAGCGCTGGGGGCCCCAGGCCCTGTGCTGATCGCCACAGCCCTGAAGGGAGGCTTCTATCCTTGATTTTCTCATGAGGAAACGGGTTCAGAGAAGGTGGGTTGGAGGATGGGTGAATGGATGAATGAGTGGAGGAGGAAGATGCAGGCGGGGCTCTGAGCCTGTTGCAGAACCCAAGCATCCCAGGGCTAGATGCTCTCTGACCCGTGGCCCTCTCGGGTCCGCAGCCAGCCTTTACTCAACAAATATGGTCCCCAGTGTCTCCAGGACGATGTGAAGTTATAGAACTCCCAGAGGACATCTTTTACCTGAATGTAATGCCTCCTGTTTCCTGGAAAAAGGAGGCATTACATTCTTGGGCTTGTGAGTAGACGGTTGGAGTCTCCTGTGAATGTTTACGATACTCAAGACGTATTGCTGAGGCACCCAAACACGTCAGTGTGAATGCGCATCTCAAGTGGGCACCTTCCAAGCCAGGTTCTAGGATATGCCCACTCCACCCCTTAAAAAAAATTTGTTTCTGGGCCAATGCTTATTTTAGTCACCTTCGTGTATCGCTCTGGAAGCCAACAGGTACGGATGGCAATCAGAGCATGGACGTTGGGGGGTGAGAGACACGCATTGAAGTTTCAGCTGTGCCTCATACGAGGAATGCGATGTTAGGCCCACCTCCCCTCCCTGAACCTTCGGGTTTCCTTGCAGAATTCAAGGGGCGCTGAGCTCAGCCCACATTCACCAGCGTCGGGGAGGGCAGGGCCCGGGAACCTGCTCTGCCCGCTAGTCTCTCTGCAAAGGAAGCGTGTGAGCTGCTGGGATGGCACGTGGGCACGGCAAGTGGTCTGAAAAGACACCCACCAGGTTGAGCTGTGGTTGCTTCTAAGAAGTGGGAGAGCAGGAGAAGCCCAGGAGGCTGCATATTTGTCAAGGGCAAGTGTTATATCTATCACTTAATATGCATATACATATTAAAAAAAAAAAACAACAACAACCAGGAAACAAAAGGAAATAAAATGGGGGGAATGGAAGAGGCCGAGGTTGGTGGCAGTCCTGGTGTGGGCCCCCTCTGGTGTCTGCCTCCCGTGGACGAGGGCTCTTCCTCGGGTGATGAGAAGCCTTCTCCCTCGGAAGGCAGCCCTCGCTGACATGCACGGAGCAGATCCCGGAGCCAGGCCCTCCCCACCCCTCTTCCGCCCACACCCACTTCTGTTTTGGGTTGTGGTTTAGCTTAGGTATTCACACTCCTTTGAAAAGGCCACTTGTCTCAGAAAAGACTTGCCCACTCTTGGCCCCGGAGTGTGAATCTTTTTTTTTTTTTTTTAAATATATTTTTATTGATTTTGTACAGAGAGGAAGGGAGAGAGATAGAAAGCTAGAAACATCGATGAGAAAGAGTCATCGACCAGCTGCCTCCTGCACACCCCCTACTGGGGATATGCCCGCAACCAAGGTACATACCCTTGACTGGAATCGAACCCAGGTCCCCTCAGTCCCCAAGCTGACGCTCTATCCATTGAGCCAAACCAGTCTCGGCCGGAGTGTGGATCTTGAGGAATCTGAGCTAGGGGCTCTTCCTGTGAAGTCCACAGAAAACCCCAAACCAGGGTAGTGGGAGAAATGCGTGGGATTCGAAAACATGCATGAAGCGGGGAGGGAGGGGAAGCCACTTTGTTTTCACCAGCCTCCAACTGAAGTGTAGCATTTCCTTGTATCATGAATGTAAGCAGCAAACCACAGCGGCATTAGCAGCGGCTTGTGATTTGTCACCAGGAGAAAGCAGACACCTCCACATCACAAAACAGTTATTCCAGACATCCCAGAACGCTGTTGACACTCATCACTGCTTCAATTTACGGTTGTTATTAGATCTGCCTCTGGATTTTGTTGTTTAATGTGCTAATAAAGAAGCGAGTTTATTCTTCTATCACACTTTAAGAAATACATTTTGAAGACCATATTTCAATACAATTGGTTACACAATACAATGTTGTGTAACCCTATCCTTTTGTTTTATGCCGTTAAAGACACTATGCTGAGAAGGGTCTGTAGGTTTGGCCGGATTGTGGAAGGGGTCCGTGGGACAGATATGGTGGATGAGCCCTGGTCTAAGCCAGGGGTCGGCAATCACATTAGTCAACAGAGCCAAATATCAGGCAATCACAAATATCAACAAATATCTTTTGAGAGCCGAAAACCGACTTCTGCGCATGGGCCACGAAGTTTCAATCGCACTGTACGCACGCATGCGCCTGCATGTGGTATTTTGTGGAAGTGTCACACTCAAGGGGCCAAAGAGCCGCATGTGGCTCAAGAGCCACAGTTTGCCGACCATTGGTCTAAGCCAATACCAGCAATTCCATGATCCAGCCTGGGACCAGCCTAGGAA